ATTGAGAAGCTCTGGGTAAATTTCAATAATTAAATTAACATTACAGACCATACATCTTAGTTTGCTTCCTCTCATTTCTTGATCCCCAATAATTTTGACAAACCTTTCAGTTGTTTCCTTTGCTAACCTAAATACGGTTTATACTAAGAATCTGTATAAAACAAATCTCATCACACTCTGTAATATTTAGTGCTCTGTTTTCTTTATTTTGTTATCAGGGTCAACTCTTAGTGATACTGAGCATTTTATCTGCTTAAATATTAAATTTTCAATATTTTTTTCAGTAGTTGATTTCTAATAGGTTCTTTCTCAATTCTTTATCAAACCTCGTTTAAACTTAGCTATTGCTAAGAACTTTTGAGCTTTTTTTCTTAGGTTCTAAGGTTTAAACCATGTTCTAAACCATGTTCTAAGGTTTAAAAAAAATGAAAATTCTCTTGGAGAAAAATGTTTGTTGTTGAGCCCTCAGTATCTTAACTGAAGTCATTTTACTATTGTTGATAATCTTACGTTGTCTAGATAACGTTGAATTTTTTAGCAAATACTAGAAAAACTACTATAAATAATGTAATCCTATTGATTTGCTTTCCTGTAGATCTCAAACTTATTCATACAAAAATAACTTCCTCAAATTTTCTCTAAATTTTCCCCAAGGAGACATGTTATCCTTTAATCTCAGCAATTAATACTTAATATATTTTACTCTCAACATAGAAACTCTCTTTATCCTAATATCCATTACAGATATACCCTACTTACATTTCTAATTTAGTATTATCTTCTGAAATTCACTTGTATTCCTTTTTGATTTAATGTTTGTTAATGGAAAATTCTATTCTCAGCCCAAGATTTCTCTGTGGGGCTTTACAGACTCAGCTTCAGAAACACTACTGCTCTTTGGACTGTAAAAACTGAGCTATATATTTTTAATAAGACATTCCATTAATAAGATTCTTAAGTGGTGAATTTTTATTCATGAATTTTTTAAATGCATTTTAAATTATAGTCTTCACATTTTCCATAAACTATATGGTTTTGCCTTTGAAGTCACTATAATTCTTTTACATTTCAAAGGATAATAAGCATAATTTGTATATATTCAAGCTTTGTGAATTATTGTTTGGTTTCAATCAACTTTAGTATTTCTACCTCATCAGATACATTGAGCTAAGTGGCTCATATATGTGCAATTAGATACATGCTATAAGAAAGGATGAGGGCTTAAATTATTTTATTTTACATTAAGTACTAGACATATAATTTAAAAGACCTATATACCGTTTAAAATGGAATTGTTTCTCTTAAAAAGTAGAAATACTTTTTAAAATATGGATATTCTTTCATAGTGAGAGGTGTATGCCAATTATTTGGATGGTCACAAATATTCTGGTTCTCCTTTCTAAGCACAAAGGAAGCTAGTTATAAAGACTTGCAATTAGCTATGTTAGTGATTTAGTTGCAGAAAACTATTAACACTGAACAGACTAAAATAGTTTACAAAAGCAGTCACAGTTTTAGAAACAGAAAATAACCTCTGCTATTCAGCATTTAGTACTGTTTTGTTTCTCTCGTTATACGAAATATAACATCGTCAGAATTTCAACAATATAATTTAAAATGGCTAATGCCCCGCAATTTACTAATTTTAGCATTCAGTCTACTATTTTTGTCTGTTCTGAGGTTAGAAATAAAAAGCATATCAAGATAACTGAGCACAGAATAATCCCTTGAAAAGTGTATACAATAGCATTTTATGACAATATATTTTCATAAATAACTCCTTACTCTATTTCTGAATATGTTTTTAAAATGCAGAATCCAAGCCACAGAAGTCCTCCAAATTAGAACGGTACTTAAACATATATACTATTATCTTTTCGGCAAAAAATAAAAACAAACAAAAAAACACAATTCTTAAAAAGTACTATCATTTTGTACAAACACTTACTACTGCTAAATTAATGGCTTTTGTTTTAAATCCTGGAAGATGTAAATTAATTTAAAATGCATAAAACAAATGTGTTTATGTAGTATTTCTATAGTCATCATAAAATTAGTAACTATACTTCAAAGAGGTATACTTCTCAACTGTGGGAAAACTGAAAAAAATTCTGCCAATGCCAACATTTCATATTTAACAGAATCATTTAAGACATTAACCCTATCATATCAGAGTCCTAGAATGAAAATAAAAAATATTTTTCTACGTGAGAAAAATATTAAAAACAAGTAAAAAAACCTGGGCCTCTACTCTTTTTCATTGTAATTTTATAATTAAATTATGACTTATATATCAGCTATCAACCATGGAAATTTATCATGAAACCTTGTTTATTTTCCCAAAACATACTATTGGGTTGTTGGAAAAGTCATGACGCATTTTTGCAATGAAAAACATAGAAAAAATACGTCATGACTTTTCCAATAATCGAATATATACTTCCTTCTTAGTTAGCTGTTCATAGTTAATGGTTACCTCTTCCTCTTCCAGTCTCTTCAATGAATCACCAGCAAATTTAATATATTGTGTCATGAGAGTGAGCAGAGCAGTATACCGCGTCCGTAGGTCCATGAACTGCAAGTGAGGAAAAAATAATAACAACATAATCTCCAGTTGCCTTAAGTGAGTAGAATAAAATGTTAAGTAATGATTACAATATTAACTAGGTTTTGTGACAGCAAAGTACACAACTCCCCAATAATGGTACCCAGGTAGAAATAGGCTTATTACTGTTGTGCAAACCATACTAAATGACACTGCTCTTTCAAATTTAATCAGGAAGTACTTTTAT